GGGGCTCTGAAACAACGCACTGGAATCAAAGAAAATCACGAAACATGGCGTGGCAAGCAGCGGTTCCAGATCGGCCTCCTGCACTGAAACTTTTGTGCTCTAGTGCCAACCCCACCGAACAGAGCCAATTAGCCCAGCACCACCACCACTAGGCCAAGAAGAGCACAGCTCCGAGAACGGGTATACCACAAAATACTGAAAGAAAGGAAAACTAAAAAAGCAGCAGCAAAAGACACCCTGATAAGTACTGAAGATTTGCTGCGAGGCAAGGCAAGGCAGCGCGAAGCGTAGCGCGGCGGATGCATGTCGTCGACGGCCGTCTCGCCCTTTGCCTTTTGTGCATTTCCGTTTCCGCTCTGGGAATCACCCCCCAGCGCTACCGCCGAAAGGGAAGTGAAAGCGAGTCCAATGTAAGCGGATTTCCATCGAGTTGCCTCTGCAATTGATTCGAGCTGGGGCAGAATGGCAGTCGATGGGCAACTTTTAACCTTTGCCGCCTGACACATTATAAATAAATGTTGAGACGTTGTTATATACAATATTTTGTGGCAGTCACGGCTCTACTTATATGCACCACACACAATGCATTCGCCCCGCTAGTCAGAGCCCTGTGTGCGGGTGTGCAGCCATCTGAAAATTGCTCGAACATGATCCTAACTAATGAGTTTGTAATGCACGCAACGAGGCGTGTCAACAGCGATCGGGAAAACCAGATATGTCAAATGGTGGCAGACTGTTATGTCTGTGGCAATGTGGGAAATAATGTGGCAAGAGAGAGGAAACGAACGAAATCAATGAAAAGCATTGTAGCATACTAGACAACGTTCGATCTTCTGTGTGCCAATTCCACTTGCCGTTGATTTTCTGACCCAATTGAAACTCGATTTCCCGAAAAACAGAAAACAAAATCAGAGCCATTAAATTCGCATGCCATGCTAAAAGCCATCAACAATGGATCCACAACCACACAGCCCCATTTCCCCCTTTCCTAATGGACTTTTCCAGTGGCGGCGTCTAACTGGCGATAAATATGGTAAAGCGAATGCCACCCACAGAGATTGCTCTAAACTGTGGAATACCCCTCATTTCAAAGCAAATCATTTTAGCTCCCAAAAAGAACTTATCATGGGGATACTCAACTGGTTTACTTCTTTGAACTCTAGAATATTATATACATTTAATGGGCGCAGTTTATTTTGCAACTCGATATGAAAATTGCTATCCCCTTTAGTTCTCTGCCATGTGCCATTAATCCTCGAATACGGGATACCCGCTGTCATCCACCAAAGACGGTGCCCCACGTACATATCTTTGCTTTTTTTGCGTCGCAACGGATGCGACTACGGATGTGGCTGCGCTTCGATGGCGTTTCGAAAATCGCATAAAACTGCTGCAATATTTAACCGCCGTGGGTGCAGGTGGGCAGAGCCTTGCCCCTCGGCGCATCTGGGCGCGATACGTCAGAGCGGTGGCATGCTACGTGCGGGCGCGGGCGCGGGTGTGGGTGCGTGTGCATATGGCACTAAGCTTTCACACATTTATAGCAACGTTCCCCAGCCGTAGGCTAATGCGATTGCCCGCTTAAGCCATAAGTGCCCCCTCAAAATGTCGCCTCGCGAGTGCCGAAAGTCGGGCATCGGTCACTTAAATGGCGCCTCTAAATACGAAATAAATATATGCCACGCAATCCCACGTATCGGAGGGAGTGGAGTGACGTGGATTGGAGGATGGGGGTGATGGAGAGGCAAGGCATAGACTGGCATATGCACTTGCCATGACATGGTTAATGTGGCAACAACTGTTTGTACAGTTTGCTTTAATATTCGACACGTGCAGCTCCAGGCACACAGAGAGAGACCCGCCCGGAGACACTCTGACACATGTTCCGGGGGTCATAATGAGAGTTCCTCGGGTCTGTGTCATCAGCAAAATGGGAACAAACGACCGCAGCACAATTGGTTGGCCTAGACGGCGGAGGTGGAGCCGTAGCCTAAGCCCCAGAGATGGACTCTCGTACGTAAGCACGTACTGTGCTCAAGCTACTTCTAGAACGGCCACACATTAGCCGCTGGGAGGCGGAGGTTAAACGCAATTTACAGACTCACCTCAGTCAAATTAATTAGAGCAATTAAGCGGACCGCGCCTACGGGCGGCAGCGGGAGATGTCGCCTGACAGCGTTGACAGTTTCAGAGGGGTGCCCGTGCCCATGCCAGTGCCCATGCCAGTGCCCGGTGCCCTCCACTTAACATACATGTACATCCCCCAGAAGCATTTACCCGAAATATTAAGTATACGCCGTGTACACTTCACTGGGTTTTTGACTGCCTGACTGACTGTACATCTCTGGAAATGGGTTAGCCAATGCGGTTCCCTTCATTGGCATTCATGCTGGGGCAGCAAAACTTTCAAGAAAAGGCTTCAAAGCGGGGAAGGACGAAAACGATTTTCCGGCCAGCGGCATCGGCATCGGCATCGCCGGCCACAAACAATTTATCTTCCTACGTTGGCCTATAAAAATGGCAATCATTATTATAGTCATGTACGAGGCAATGGGGCGTTACGGCAATCAACGCCAACGTCTCAAGACGTTCCATAAATAAGCGCAAAATTTCAATTTTCAACGATGCGCCCCTAAAGAACACACAAATGGGGCAGGGACAGCCCTCAAAGATCATACATACAGACATGTGCGTGTGCGTGTGTGTGTATTTAATTGCATATTTTAATAGTCATAAAGCAGGGAAACCCTCGAGCTGAACGAAAGTACCAAAATGCCAGCGGGCATACTTAAAGGTCTCCTCAGCAGACACAGGCACAGGCCGGGGCACAGACACAGAAGAAGATACAGATATAGGCCCATAGGCACAGATACAAGTAGTACAACTACAGATGCATGTACAGATACAGTCACAAAGGGACAAAGACAAGGCCAAATGCGCAACTAAAACAAGAGAATATATAGAAGAAGAATGCAATATAAATTATAAACGCAAACTGTGCGACAAGGATTTCTGGTCTGTGGATCTGGTTCTGCTTTCGTTTTTTCCCATTTTTTTGGTTTATTTTGTACGAGTATTACGAGGTTTTCCCCCCTCGTGCCAGCGACATGCGATTTTGATGGCAAATGATTTTGCAGTTGGCCGGAGGTGGGGTTACGGGTAGCGGGGTTGGGGGTCTGCGGTGGGTAGAGGCCTTAGAAATCGAAGCATAAATGGGCAAACGAGCTCATGGTACATGGCACAAGGCACATGGCACTAGTCGAAGGTCAAGGGTCATGCCGGTGCTTGCCGGATCATGTCGAAATTTACTGCAGCCCTTTCATCTGTGCCTCGGAAATCGGTAATATATATATATATTGATATTTATAGACTCGATACGATTTGATGACGTTTCCATCCCGACAATCGAACCATCTTTCCCACTCCCGAACTGGGCGCCCCTTCCATGCCGCATGCCGCATGCCACATGCAGATTTCCGTGTAGCACTAAGCGAAGTAACCGAGCGAGACTGCAACTGCCGCAAAGTCTGTGCTGCCCCGAAATCGATCCGAAGGAGGAACCCTCGACTCCGTACAACTTCGCCCATTGTGCATGTGTGGTAGTGAACTGTGGCACTCTCTGTGTGGAGGCCAGAACGGGCCTATGTGCCACGCGATGTGATTGTGAGTGCGAAAATGTGACGACCCAGCCCCTGGCCGGGTCTGCTGGTGTGGCTGCTGGCTCTGGCTCTGGCTTTGGCTTTGGCTTTGGCTATGGGTTGTGCCCGTGCCTCTGCCTCTGCCTCTGCCCCTGGCTCTGGGCTAGGATGACGTAGTCCTCCAAGCGAAGTGTGTTAGTATGCCTGCCCTTCTCCACTCGGGGTTGCACATACACTCACATACACTCAAGCAGAGGGTGCGAAGGGGCATTAAATGGTTCGTGTTTTCTTGTTCCTTTTGCGTCTTTTCCGTCTTCTGTTCTGTTCTGGTCGGTTTCTGCCACATCTTGCCATTTGCCGCTTGCCGCTTGCCGCATATTGGGGTCGCCTGACGTTGCATACTTTAAAAGCGTCATTTAGTTCCGAGCAAGCTAAATTATTAAAAGCAAATCCAACACACACAGATACAGATGCACACATACAGACACCGACACCGACACCGATACGGATACGGGCCAGGCAGTTCATTAAATTCAATGTATGCAAACTGGCAGCAACAAATGTGGCAGAAGGCAATCTTCCACCTGTCCCCATCCCCTGCCATCCTTGAATGTTCCCGATCCCCCCAGCTGTTGTCAATTTGGGTCCTCCTGCTGCCCCAAAATGTCTCCAGCACTGCCTCATCATAATCATATGCTTCCTACTTCCTTGCCACCCGGCTGCGCAAATATGTTTCGCCAACTTCAATTTGTGTGGCAGGTAGAGTAGGTGTATCTGTGAGTCGGTCTGGTGTGTGGGTTGTGTGCCTGGGTCTGTTGGTGTGCTGTGCTTGTGGCTGCTTTTTTATGCGTCACGTGAGAATTTCCTTTATTATTATTTGGCTTTTCCCCGCCCTTGGCGCTATGGCTCTGGCTATGGCTCTGGCTATGGCTTTGGTACATATCACGTATACGTAGCGTATAACTCTGCTAAAAAGGCATTGATTTTTTTGTGGATTTCCCTCTTCCTTTCGGCTTTTCCTCTACTTTGTTGTACTGCTCCCTGCTTGCTGCTGGCTGCCACTTCATTTATTACTTTGATTGCTTTTCACTTTCCTCAAGTTGGGTGCTTTTTTCAAAATATTTGCTTGCCTCAAAAAGCAAAAGTTTATCCTGTTTTTGTTTGTGTTTGCACTTTTAACTCCGGTTTTGCTTCTTCTTTTGTTGGATGTGGCTCTGTTGCACGGTCTGAATCGAGTTTGGATCTCATCATCATCGCCCACTCACACACTCAAAGACTCACTCACACACTCACACAGGGAGGGACACAGACAGGGAGACGACCACGCGCGCGTAAAAATATACTAAAATACAAATTGCTCACAATTTCCTTCGTCGACTGCTGCTGCTGCTGGTGCTGCTGCCGCTGCTGGTTTGCTGCTCTAGTTTGTTGTTGTTTCACAGATATTTTCCTGTACTCCTCTTGAATGTTCCGGAGGACGAACTTTCGACGACCACGCGCTTCAACGTCTGACTACGTTTTGAACATGCAATCCTCGGATGTTCTGAGGAAATCGCCATCGTTGGTGAAAGCTGTTCGGAAGCGTACACCAACAGGCGGCGGAGAGATGCTCTCAGGACCTGCGCAATGGGCAATGGGAGAGAGGCGACCCTGCAGGTGACACACTTTTCCGCGCCAACCGTCCTCGATGAAGTGGCCTTTCCCCCGTCTTGTCGCACGGCCTACAAAGTTTACTATTTACATGGTACATCGGTTTAGGGCATCAGGCAGTTTTTTTTTTCTCATTTTCCTTCGTATTTTTTTTGCCGTGTTCACCGAATTTCGCATGCATTGCCAGCAGGCAGGAGTACTCCCGGACTGGATTCGACTGGACTCGGGTGTGATGTGGCGCAAATGTCATTTTGAATGCTGGGCCATTTAGGAAGCTGCTGCCAGTTCAGGGAGTTGAAAGTTCGCATTGGCCGCATCCATAATACATGACACGTCCTCCCGGCGAGAGTCGTCTTTCGGGTTGGCTCCGGCTAAGCCGGGTTAACTGACCTTTCGCCACTGCCACAAAATAAAACAATGCCAAAGCCAAAGCCAAACAAAAACCAGTCTAAATGAAACGAAATGTTCCATTGTAAAGTTCGGCAATGTTTGCTCGACAAAATGCCATTCAACATAATATTTATCACAATTTAAGTCGACCACATTTCGCAGAGTAAACATTTTAATTCGCTTAGAGAAAGCAGACAAAGCAGAGAAAGTTGCCGATGCAGCAGCAGTTTCCAATTTAAATATTCAACCCAACATTTTAATTCATGAAACGAGTTGCAAATTGAGTTTGTTCAAAAGTGTGTGCGTACATGGCAATATCTGAGCAATAACAGCGTTTACATAGAACAGACGGCCCCTTTTTGTTGCTTTTAAATGAAAATGTTGTTTGAAAGTCTGCCTTTTTCAATGAATTTTGATCCGATTGTGAATTTGCTTTACCAAGCTTTAATAGGAAATGAATTTTTTCAGCGGTTCCTTTTCTGATCCCTAGGACATCAATTTTGATTCAGATATTAAAATGTTTCAATATTATTTAAATAAAAACATTGCATACTTTAAGGATCGAGCGCTTGTTGAATACTTTTATAGCCTTGCATACTTTGCTTAGTGTAATATAATTTTACTATGATATACTTTGTTATTCTTTGGATCATTTTAATGATTAGTAGTTTGTTTAAAACAGGCCTTGCCATACAAACAAAAGTTGATGAAACATTAAATATGGTAGAGAGCTTCAGTTCAGTTGCAGTCGTCATGGTAAGGTGTCTCTTTACAACCCATCAATTTGAAGATATTAGCGTTGTAAAAGCCGAGTGTCAAAATTATTAAAGTTCGCGAGGTCACCAAATGGGGCTTTTTAATATTTAAAAAAGTTTTTAAGAGGTATATTGCAAATTCTATGCAGGGGCCTAAGGTCTACTCAACTTGGACTACAGACTTATTTTTTGTTCCCGTGTAATCTGAATGATGCTTTATAAATGATCGAAAGTGCACGAGGTATGACATTTATTTCGTATTTTGTTCAAATACATCTATACTTTTGAGTATGATTTGTTCAGAAAGAAATCTTATAGGGTTGTACAAATTTGTTCCTACTGCCTTTTAAATAAATTTACCCACACAAACAGATACCATTGCAGGATGCACTAACTGAACACTAGCAGACGATGAGTCCCTTTGAAATGGGGGACAAAAGGGAGACAAAGTAATGCAGAAAAGCTGAAACGCATTCAACAGAGCTGCGGGCAGAGCTCCGTCAAAATGAAATGAACACCACGCTTCTGGGGAAATGTTTTTCAAAATTCTCATTCGGGCACTGGACGCGCTGGTCCATGTGTTGGCGGTGCCCAGAAAGGAAACCGCCGCTTGCAACTGCCACTGCGAAATGCGAAATGCGAAACGCAGCGCGGAATCAGAGCAGGGAAAAATAGCATGAAAATACTCGGGGCAACGAAATCAACGCCAACGGCGGCTGCATGTCAATTAAAACATTAAAACGCGCTGAAAAATGCACCAAAAAAATGGCGCAAAGCAAACAAACAAACGAGACAACGATTAGAAGCATAGAATTTCGCAATCGAGCACTTAGAGCTGTATTGGAGCCCAGACTCCAAGCGGGCGACTCCGCATGGGGGAAGGGGCTAATGTGTGACCCAGTTCGGAGCACTGTGCAGGAAAGGAACTCTCAGCGGCGCTGGCGCTGATTTGGCTATTGGTTTTTTGATCATTAAAAACTGGTTGGCCAAGGCAGACACTGCAGCAGCAGCAGCACCAGCAGCAGCAGCAGAGGCAGTCGGCAAAGCCCATACCCATATCTCTCTACATATGACCGCCCGCCCATGTCTTTGACGAAACTGCTGGAGCTGCTGGGGGCCTTATAAACGGCCGGCGATGGCGGCCGCGAGCCAAGTTTTACCGCTACATTAGCCGTGCACGCGCGTGTTTTTCCCACGATTCGAAAACGAAGAAAAATCTACAAAAAAAAAAAGATTAAGAAAATGAAGGATCGTTTTACCAGAATAGCCCAGGAAGTGCCCAGCATGCTGCTGATTATGCTACTGCCCTTGCTCATCGGAAGCACTGCCGCATTTCCGGATGGGGCCCCAGCCGATACGTGTGTGAAGCAGCGCGCGAATCAGCCCAACCACGGAAAGGCCCGTACACAGCCAGCCCACACAAATCCCTTTGAGGTGGTGGCCGACGCCCAGAGCTACCATCCGGGTCAGCAGATCTCTGTGGTCATCTATCCGCACGCACAGCAGAGCACGGTCTTCAGGGGCTTCTTCCTGCAGGCCCGCGACGCGCACTCCAATGAGTGGATTGGCGAGTGGGTCCAGAGCGAGAACACAAAAACCATACCTGAGTGCTCGGCCATAACGCACTCGGATAACCGGGACAAACTGGGGGCCAAGCTGCTATGGAAGGCGCCGCAGAACAAGCGCGGCAATGTTTACTTTACGTAAGTCTGGTGCGGGATAGCCGTCGTCGAGGGGATTTCTTGATGATTTGGCAATAAACTAAGCCTGACATCAAACAGTGTCTGTCGTCGCTCGTCTGCCGTTTGTCACCATCGTCATTATCGTCATTGCCATCACATAATCATCATGACCAGTAGCAATAACCGTGGATGTATTAGGAGCACCCTCATCGTCTGGGAAGGGCATTCATTAATCATACGCCACGTTGACCCACATAGCAAAATGCGCACATAATTGTCAGGCCGACAAAACTTGCCGGATAATCACACAAAAAGCATTATGTAATTGATTTATTCGAAAAAAGCCAAACGTGAAAGAGTTCCATCCATCCATGCATCCATCCACGCATCCACAAAAAAGGCATCAAACGGCAAAGACGCTTTGCTCAGGCACCGGCCCAGGGCAAAATCCGAAGACACTTTGTCAATGCTTTTTATATGACAAAAGCAACTTTGTGGCAAGATGGCACTGTCCTACATGGGTGGGTGCTGACTGGCAGCAGTTGATAGTTTGACTCTTTTGTCATTAATCATTTTACCAAAAATTATGCTAAAAGTAGGATTAAATGAAATATTAAGTGGAGCATTTGGCAAAAGAAAGAGCTCAGACAGGACTACAGAATTTAATGTTGAAAGAGGAAAATCATGTCCAGGTGTATGCAAATTTAATGACAGGATTTTCCATGACAAAACTGTTTTTGCCGAAATATTGCCAAGAGAAGAAAATCAAGAGAAAAAGAGCTTATGGGGAAAAAAATTTATATAGTTATATTCAAAAACTAAATGACTTTATAGGCTTAATAATAAATAGGAACATTCAAGAAGGATTTCATATATTATTCGTACCAGGAAAGGAAAAATAAATACGAAATTGTAGACTCCTTATAAATAAGGCAGAGGTAAGACAGAGTGCTCTTGTCCAAGAAATGATATGGAACTCTGCGCCAGGGCCAAGCCTCATCCAAATTCTGTTGCCTAGTGTCACCGTACAACAGCTCCCCCATCAAAGCCCCTACCTGGAAAGTGTCGATTCATCAATTATTACCTATTTATAGCAACCGCCTATATTTAATCATTGTAAAATTGTTAGCCTGGCATACGAAAATCATGACTTGCTCGATTGTAAAATTTACATTTTCCTTTGCAGCGGCACTGTGCTACAGGAGTACGGCACCTTCTGGAGCGACATCGTTAACAAGGTGCAGGCCGAGCCGCAATAACGAAAATTATGTACCTATTTATAACAGCTGTACTCGTATATACCCTGCACTGGGCAATAAATCTTTAAAACCCTAATTAGTCAAAAGGAAATTGTTGTTTGAAGATTTTTCAAATCCCCATTTGGCGGACGGACGGACGTCTTTGGGCCAAGCCCCCCACTGAGCTGTGCAATCAACATTACAGAGCAAAATTATTGACTTTTTGGCTTAACGTTTATGAATTGACCAGAGCTCCACACACACACACACACACACACACACATATCATACACACACACACTTGCAGAACCATGGCCGACAGGCCCTCCCACATCCGAAAACTCGAACCAAGCCACCAGTGCGCCCGACTGACCCACCCACACTAGGCCGCAATCGGACGCACGAGCCGAACACGTTTAAGTTTCCAGACACGTTGGCCAGCTTCTCATTGGAAATTTGTTTTGGCCCAGCCAGTAAATTGGAAACTTTAAGCACCTTTCATGCCGGCTATGAAGAGAGACTGGGCCGGACTATGGCGATAAAGTAATTAAGGCACAGGCCGTAGCCAGATGGCTAGTGAAATTCATATTTATTCCAGGCCTTTATATGCCCTACCCTTTAACTACTGGCATCTTATCAGAGGAAGCGGATAAGAGTGGTTGAGTGGGACCAGCCATAAACAAGTTCCGAGAATTTTTGCTCAATATAAATATTTCATAAAATTATTAACCAAAATTTACTGTACATATTTTCATACTTAATTGCAAGCCTTCAATTTCCAATATTCTCATTCATATGAATACAATGAGTCCAATGATAGACTTAAGAAAATTGAATACTTGAAAGAAAATCTATAGGGACACCTGACTATACAAATCTATAAGCACACTTAACTTAAAGTTTTTAAACCGTAATGATATAATCGGGGGAAGATTCAAAGTTACTTGCCGCAATGATTCCTGTGGCAATGACAATGATTTACGAAACTATACTGTTGAATAGACAAATCAAAGTAGCGGTAGGTCGCAATCAGTTGGGCGGAGCGAATTACCTGATAAGTTTTTACTTGAAAAAAAAAACACATGTGTATGACGTTAAAGCGATGCTCTACTGTGCGCACACACACGTGCACAATCAACCCGAAGCTTGTTTACTGCAATTCAAGTTGTTTTCGTCTCCCTCCAGCAAACGGTGCATGGCAACCCACCTCGAAAGTGGGGAGTACAGTGGCGGAGAATCGCATGTTGTTTTCGTGCGTTGCAGTCCGCGTCTGACGTCGACCGCAGACGACTTTTGGCGACTTGTTTTGATCGAATTCGCTGCATCTGCCTTTATTGTCTGGCTTCTCCGGCGGTGCAGGGGCGCATTCGGTGTGCACGAGCAATGCAGCGATCCACCTCCATCGGGCACAGTACGCCCCTGGACAATGCGAGTTCGTTGTCCAGCCGAAGTCTGTTTTTCCCCCACACGCTTTGTTTCAGTTTACATTGACTTGTTGCTGTTCTTTCTGCCATTTCGTTTATCAGCACGAACGCGTGACTGCGGCAACAGCGTCGGGAGCAGCTCCAACACTTTCAGTCGTGTCTTGCCGGAGAGAGGTCCACAGATCGCAAAAGCTTCAGTATGGTTATCAATTTCGCCGCCGGTCCCGCCAAATTGCCCGAGGAGGTCAGCCGCATGGTCAGACGAGAATATTTCATACCAGTTCTAACCGATTTTCGGTCTTCCTGATTCGCCCTGATTCCGTAGGTTCTGAAGGAGGTGCAGAAAAATCTTCTTGACTGCAATGGCAGCGGCATATCGGTTATGGAAATGTCCCACCGTTCCAGCAGCTACGGCAAGATCCAGGAGACGGCCATCAACGATCTCCGCGAGCTCCTCAACATCCCCAGCAACTACAGGGTTCTTCTGATGCAGGGCGGTGGCACCGGGCAGTTTGCTGCCGTCGCCCTCAATCTGATTGGTGTCACTGGCACCGCCGATTACGTCATTACCGGCTCATGGTCAGAGAAGGCAGCCAAGGAGGCGGCCCAGTACGGCAAGGTGAATGCCGTTCTTCCCAAGGCGGCCAAGTACATATCCGTGCCCCGACAGAACAGCTGGAAGCTGGACCCCAAGGCCTCGTATGTCTACTACTGCGACAACGAGACAGTCGAGGGCGTTGAATTTGACTTTGTGCCAGAAGTGCCGGCCGGTGTGCCGCTGGTGGCTGATATGTCGTCTAACTTCCTTTCGCGGCCCATCGATGTTGCCAAATTTGGGGTAATATTTGCCGGCGCACAGAAGAACATTGGACCAGCGGGCACAACAGTGATAATTGTGCGCGAGGATCTGATTGGCAAGCATCTGAAGAGCACACCATCCATCCTGAACTTCCAACTGATGGACAAGAACAGCTCCCTGATGAACACCCCACCCACATTTGTGTAGGTTTCCAGGCTTTCTGTCTTGTTTCCCAATGCTAATCTCTGTTCTTTGCAGCATCTACGTGATGGGCTTGGTTTTCAAGTGGATCAAGCGAAATGGCGGCATCGCTGGCATGTCCAAGCTCGCCAACGCCAAGTCGCAGCTCATCTATGAGACCATCGATAAGTCCAACGGCTTCTATTACTGCCCCGTGGACTCGAATGTGCGCTCCCACATGAACGTTCCATTCCGCATTGGCAGCGCCGCCGGCAATGATGCACTGGAGAAGGAGTTTCTGGCCAAGGCCGAGGCTGATGGCATGATCCAGCTGAAGGGCCACCGCTCAGTGGGCGGTATACGTGCATCGCTGTACAATGCCGTCACCCTGGAGGAGACTCAGCAGCTGGCAAATCTCATGGTGGAGTTTTACAAAAACAATAAAAAATAAGACATCTTGTTGATTTATATTTACAAAAGCCCGCGCTGTCTGAAGATCTCGTCCAGCTTGTGTTCCAGGTTGGCATTGGTGCCGCGCAGATTGTCCACCACCTGCTTGGCCCAAACGAAGTACAGCTCCCGACGTTCCTGTGATGGAAAAGGAGGGATTGCTCAGAATGCTTTTCTGTGGCAGCAGCTCTGCTTACCTCCGTCCATCCCTGCGGCGTGTTGACCAGCAAGTCCCTTAGATTGTCCAGCTTATCAGCCAGCTTGATGAGCTTAGCCCTGGGGCTCGTCTTGGCCGCATTGGCGATTTGCAAACGCTTGCGTTCCTGCTTCTCCAGCGATTTGTCGTCGGTCACCTCGCGAACCAGACCACAGACATCGCCGCCCAACAATTGCTCCACGTCTGCAAACGTCGCGTCGGTGTCCTCCACCACATCGTGCAGCAGGGCGGCCATTAGCACGGCCTCATCCTCAATACAAGCCTCCACAGCCAAAATCGTACTCACATTTATCACATGATTTACATACGGCGTTTGCGGGGGATCCTATAAAAAATCAAATTGTCGCTCAATACAATCGCTATGGACCCGGTTAGTTTCCCTTACCTTGCGCCGCTGATCCCGATGTTGGTGTGCCGCATACTGCAGACATTTCATAAACCTGCTGGAAGGACTCGTTGTCATTTTTAGTGGGTCTGTTTCGACTGTTTTTGTTTTGTTTTTGGCCACTCGCGTCGCCGGGCCCGTGTTCTGAAGAAAAATAAATAAACAGTGTTCAGTTACTCACTCCGTCTGGCGAATTATCCAAGTTCCATCATACAAATTCCTCGATTTTGATATTCCGTCGAATATTAATACCCAGATAGGTCTCGCAGCCCTGCCCACATAATTTTATCCGATTAATGAATCAATTTTCTATTTGACTGGCTTGTTTTAAATACTTGTTTTTATTGGATTTTGTCTAAATAAACGTTTTAGCGAAAAAGGTCAAACAAATAAAACGTAAGAGATATGTAAATCGTTTCTATTGCTCAATTTTGATATTCCGTTGAATAATGCTGACTAACTAAAACCCTTAGCTCTGCCCACATAATTTTAGATCATTGATGAATAAATGTTCTACAAGATTAGCTACATTTAAGTACTCCCATTTATAGTATTTTGACTACAGCAAGGTTTAAACAAAAAAAGGTCAACAAAAAAACAGTCGCAGTGTTGTCATGTCAATGTTACTGGTATTTGAAGGTATTTTTCTTGTCAACCGGTGTATACCCCACTTCATTAATTTAATATGTGGATACTGTTTTCAAATCGAAAAGTTAAAAAACCTGCGAATGGAAGTTTCTATATCCCTAGTTCTTCATATATCTTTTAAAATTGAATTTAATAGAAGAATTTGATAAAAATATACCATTATATACCTAAATAAAAATAAGAAATTGGTATTTTATTATGTATTTATTTTCGTGGCGCCCTGGATTGTCTATCGCTTGTTATCGATAGCAGCGCGCGGTGAATTATTGTTTTTGAACATGTTTTTTTTACGTACGAATTGGAAAATACATTTTCCATACAGCATTTAATGAATATTTGAGTATATGATGATTACTTGGGCTTCCAATATCCATAGTTATTCTTGCCATATCCCTCCTTCTTGTTGCGCTCATGTTTGGGGCAAGCTTCATCGGTCTTGGCCTTTGCATTGCCATGGCCGTTTCCCTTGCTCTGGCCATTTCCGTTTCCAGTGACCTCCGGCACGTAGAAAATCTTGCGTGACTTCAACGCCGACCACTTATGGCGCTTGATGTAGTAGCTGAGTCCAATCAGGAATGAACAAATGAGGAACACCCTGATCAGCAGCAGCTTGCGCTCATCTGCCTCCGGCTCCGAGGTCCACTTGAGGAACGTGACCACATCCTTTGCAATCTGGGACCCCGATGGGGCAACCTCCTCGTCAGCGTAGGTCACAACCTCGTTGTTGATGACCTGACCCATCGATATGGCGCCGCCAGAGAAGTACGGATTGAAGTACTGGCCGTCGCGCAGCACGAACCCAGCTGGTGGATCACAGTAGCCAGTCAGCAGTGCAAAAATGTAGTCCTCGCCGCCCTTGCGGGCGGACACGATGTAGCTCAGGTCCGGCGGATAGGCTCCGTTGTTGGCCGAGCGAGCGGCGTCCTCGTTCGGATAGGGCGACGGCAAATAGTCGGACAGCTTGCCCGGACGCTCAAAGTACTCGCCGTTCTCGTCGGGTCCATCCTTCACCATCACCTGCTCGGCCTGTGCCTTCGCCTCCGCTTCGGTCATGCAATTGTTGACCAGATTGCGGTACGCAATGTACTGCAGTGAGTGGCACGAGGAGCACACCTCCTTGTACACCTGGTAGCCGCGGCGTACAGCCTCCTTGTCGAGGGCCGACAGTAGACCCTTATGGTTCCAAAACTGCTTCGGTGGGTGCACGCAGTCGTGCGAGGCATCCACACTCGCATCCAGGGCGTATAGCAGCGCCCCCAGTCCGCCGGTCAGAGCACCGAAAGCCAGCCATTTTGAACGTCCCGGGATCCAGTTGGGAGCCGAAAAGCTTGACTTTGGGCGCACAGGTGAGCGTTTCAGATAGCCCTTGGAAAGCTGCAGGAGCTTCGAGATAGCGTGTCCAAATTTGTTAGCCATGATTACACTTTTCTTTTCCCAAAATCTTTTCACGGGCGATAAAAAATTTTTTGTTCTTCGTTCGGCCAGTGCTGTACAACTTTTTCCGGAGGATAGAGTTGCCAAGCAATTGTCACATCTAACAAATCAGGGTTACTCCAAATGATTTATTAGCTTAAGCACTTTTTCGAGCTGAAAATTGCTGAAGCGCAGCTTCGCTGCTTATCCACGATCTACGATCTTTCTTCATAAACCATATGTAAAACAAAACCCACCCAAAATTACAGTTATTCTGTAAGAATCAGAAACTCTCTTACAGATAAAAAAAAAAGGAAATTGTTGAATCAACTTTGTGTTTCTTTTGTTGTGGCAATCACCTCCTCCTGCGTTTTCTTCATCCACTCACAACCCCAGTCAGCGGAGCAACAAATGCCGGGGCACTTTCATTTGTTATCTGGCGCAATAATCTGTAAATCTGTAACAGCCCACCAAACAACGGTGCATACAATATTTCCTAGCCATTCTTCACACTGTGTGACCACGAAATCGTCAAAGTCAGGCCAAAGCCCCAACCAGAGCAGAGACCAGCCCCATCCCCAGTCCCAGTATTCCGTCTGTAGTCATCAGTTAGATTGCAGCTCAACGGCCCCCCGACGTCGACGGAGCGAGCGATGTAAACTGTTTTTGGTGGAAATTTGTACCTGATTTTATATTTCCCTTTTTTGTTACACTGTTATTACGTATTTCCATGTTTACCATATTTTTACACGCGCTTACAGACTGCTGTTTTTTCATGTTTCTATCTGTGTGTGTGTGTTGGTTGTGTCTGTGTGTGTGTGACTGTTTGTACTGCGTTCTGCTTCTGCGCAGCGATGCATAATTCCCACTTTTTGGATTTTTGTGTGCCATGGTGTGGTTGCGGTGGTGGTGGTGGTGGTGGTTGCCTTTGCTGCTGCGCAATTAATAATTCTTTTCGACTAGCGTGAAATTTTCATAAAACAAGAAAAAGCAACAAGCAACCGCACCAACTTTCCATGAAAATCTCCGGCCATTAGTAGCAATCGCAACGCTTTTCCCCCCGAGTCCAAAACGGAGAGAAATAAAGAAAGAGGCAAATGAGGAAGGAGACTTGGAAACCACAGAGAGATTGCTCGACCTCATAGAAATGGGTTCACGTCATAAATTTTATTCAAATTACAAACTCATTAATATATGGCGTTGTTGATTTTTCCAAGTCAACGGCGCCGCGTTGATTGTTCAATTTACAGCAACTCTATTTGCCAGTGTTGGGCAGCGCACTGCAAAGCTGCAATGACATATTGGAATAATAGCGTAGCACAGCATAGCCATACATTCTTAGGTTGATTATTCGCAAAAAAGATGGTCTGCAAATAAAAATGCCCGCATACGAACAGCAAAAAAGTATGCATAATTTTGCAATAAATGTAAATATTACTGGTCCGCTTCCTCTTCTCCTGGGAGAAGAGACAAAGCGCCATGCTGCTGTAGTTTCCTGTTGCCCCATCGCGGCTCGGCTCCACCATCGACTCCATGATAATGATGATGACGACGATGATGCTGCGCTGTGCGCTGTGTGCTGTGCGCTTTGCGCTGGCCATGTCCCACTCCTTATCTTGGCAGCACGAAAACCAGAAACAAGAATTATAGACCAAAAGCCAGTTGCAATGTAAGTGCACCATGTACCGTAGGTGTGTGTGGGGGCAATGTATGTAGTTGGTGATTGTGTGCGTGCCTGCGGCTAGAAGCGAAGGCAGCACAGAACAGAAAAGAACAGAAGAACCGTGAGGCTGTGCAGTTACATCTGCTGCAGTGTTGGTCTGGACTCTAGAATTTATTGTAAGGAAACAATCAGATTTATATGTACATACATATATCAAAAATTAATCGATTCGAAGAGAAGGATAATATGGGTTGAATATGGCCGAATCATCACCATTTTTTTGCCAGTAAGCAGAACAGCTGATCGATCGTCAGAATCAAATGAACGTGAAACAAGCTGCTCTCTTCTCTCTTATCTTTCAGGTTCTCATTCTGGTTGCCATGTACTTTTCAATCTCGCAAAAAAAGCCAATGCTCCCCTATATACAACAACATCACGATCGGGCCTGCCTGTCAGTGTGTGTGTGTGTGTGTTTGTGTGTTTATGTGTAGCATGCGGTTGCTGTGGATTTTTGTAAACTTTTGCCACAGCTCTCGCGGTCGTCACTCACACAGAGAGAGGGGGCATGGCATGGCCAGGCACAGGCACAGGGCCGCCACGATGAAAGGGGAGCGGGCCGGAGGAAGACCCGAGCTTCATTATGACGTTGTAACTGTCTTTTCAATTTCTCGTTTTGCCCGATTCGCTTTGCCAAATGGAGCCTAGTAGATACACAGCTTAATCGCTCGTAGCTGAATCGAACCCTTTCCTTTCACGGTAGCCACAGAGCTGTTAGCAAAGATTTAGGGATGTACAGACCCATGTAACTATCTTTCATCTATTCGAAGCCGACAGCAAATCATCCTTACTTCTATCCCTATGATACATACAGGAACAGCAGGGATCTTCCACTTCAGAACCCATTTTGTCTTCGATTAAGCGAAAATCGTAAAAATTGATTGAAAATCGACAAATCGATCATTTAAAAGTTATTGACATCCCTAATACCCGGCTCACGCTCATAGCTGAACGAGTGAGTGTTGGCCCTTTTTGCCGGATCAGAGCAGAGCAGTTAGCTGAAGATTGTTTTGATGCTCAAATAGAGACAGGGGCAGGGGCAGGGGCAGGGGCTGGCTGGGGGGACTGGGGACTGGGAACTGAGCGTGAGCCCAGATGCTGAAGATGGATCTCTGTCTGTTCTGTTCTTTTCTTTTCTTTTCTGCTCGGTTCGGTTCTTTTCTCCAGCCCCAGCAACAGACACAGCAATTGACTCGTGCGTGTGGGTAAGTGTGTGTGAGCAGCTCCCAAGTGAGTGTTGGTATCGTATCCCCAACGACGTGGTTCTGGCTATGGATGTGGATGTGGAAGTGGATGCCGTTGATGAGTTTTGTTTTAATTCTGCTTCTTGGCTTCAATTTCTTATAAAAATTGTTTATATGCACGTAATAGTTGGTCCCGTACCTCTCTCTCTCTCTCTCTCTCTCTATCTGTGTGTGTGTACAGCCACACACAGATACTCGGGTACAGATGCAGATATGTGTGTTCATACACTACTACCAAGAGGGACTTTGTTGTTGCTGTGATTTGGTGAATCGCGCGTAGCCGATTGTAATTATTGTAATCGAGTCTCGAACCGATCCAATCCGATACGATACGATCGCCATAGCAATAGCCCATTGCCGCTTCAGGTCCAACAGATCAGGCCGCCACGACATCAGCATCAGCATCCAGCATCAACATCAGCATCCAGCATCAGCATCTGAGGAGCATCGTCTTCGGCTGATTTGATTTTGTTTTAGTTGTTTTGATCATTTTGTAATAGTTTTCTCAGTGCAGCAGTGCTCTGTTTAAATCATCTTGGCCAAGGCAGAGAAGAGCAGAGCAGAGCAGAGACCAGGCCAGATCTCGTGATCGTTTTGGTTTGGCTTGAATTGAGCCAAGACGAGCCGAGCCGAGACGAGCGCGCGCTTTTCTCTTTGATGCCAACAACGTCATAGTCATAGGCCCAGTCATGATTGTTGTTGCTGTTGCTGTTGCTTTTGACTAAAAGTTGATTGACTGTCTGCTCATTTAGCCGCTTGTCCATGGCTCGCTCCGTTTGTTGGCTTTGGCTTTGGTTGTGCGACTGCGACTGTGGCTGGAGCTGTGGCTGTGGAGCTTGTTGGTTTGTCCATTTGCCATCTCTGTCGTTTCCCCCATCTCCTCCATCCGCATCTTCATCTTCAGCAACGGCAGCGTCAGCGGCTTCTCTTGCACATTTCGTTTTAGGCCATTATAGTTTTGAACATGTTCAAGTGCCATTCTCACGATTGTTTATAGTCTTTTAATTTCAGCTCAAGCACAAGAAATAAACAGTGAAATTTAGCAGCAGGCGATTTGTTGTTCTTAGGCTTTAATGTTCCTCACTTGAGGAGCCCGAACCGAACGAAACCCAGCTTCGAGTGCAGTCCCCAGTCCCCAGTCCCCAGTCGCCAGTCGGCGCTTACTGTTCCCCGGCTTCAGCTTCAGATTCGGTTTCGGCCCAGAAGCAATGGTGAAAGGCTTCAAGTGGTCAATAAGTACCAGGGAGCTTGACAGTCTCCAGGCGGCCACACAATCTGAAGTACTCCAAAATGTTTGCCTATTAAACAGTCATCAATGATTGTTACATTCTACAAATAGAAATTGGAAGAGCTGGGATTATAAAAGAGACGAGGAGAATGTTTGAAGAGCTGGAAGAGGTTCTTCCATTGAGTCAGAGATATATTGTATGTATGTATGTACTTGCGTGTGTGTTGCGCCATTCAATGTTGAGCTGCTGATCTGTAAGAGCTTGACGAATCTATCTGTACTTATCGCATCGCTGGGATCTGTCGCACATCAATCAATTGAGAATCTGCTGTTCAATAGGAGCTCGAAGAATCCACCTCTTCATCCCTTACATCCATCCTAGATCAAATTTATTGTTTGCACGGCACAGGAGACGTATTGTCTCTTGTATCTTTCTATCCAACTATTCATCAACTTACAGCTTGATCTATTTCCCCTCCTACATATCTCTGATATCATTCTCGGATCAAGTATATTGTGTATTGAGGAGTATTGTAACTGAGGATCTGCCGATCAGTCCAAACAAGCAATTCGATCACTCGATCGTTAATTAACTCCCATCGAAATTCCGCCAAATTGACATTCTCAGAGGCGGCTCTAAGCTCCATTTCCATTTACATTTCCACTGACATCTCAACATTTGTCCATTGCAGAAAGGGGAGCTCCACTCAACTCCACTCCACTCCAGTCCAGTCCATGATCATGGCATGGCATGGCATCTCATGATCATCTTGGGCAATTTTCGCGCATGGAACTTTCAACTCCAAAATGGACTGACAATTGAT